TATATATATATATAATGAAAAAACATGATTGTGGTTTTCTTACCGTTACCGCACACTAGCAAATCCGTCTATATAAAATAGCTTCCCGCTATAAAAATGTCTAAAAAACGGCAATAAAGCAATAACTACATGGAAGTATGGTGGTTTTATAAAGCAACAAACTGATAAGAAAGCAGCCCCACAAAAACTCAAACAATTTGAATTGTAATTCAAAAAAGTTTAACCAGAGTTTCAGTCTAAACTTGCAGAAGTCACTAACAAATTAGCAGCATACATTAAACAAAATGTGAACAGAAAATGATAGATACTGACGTAGATACTGACAAGCACTCAAAATTAAATTACCAAACATGTACACCGTAAGTTAGGGGCAGAAAAAGCTTTGTTATACTTATCAATGATAGTGGAATAATATTTATAAGACACTTGGTATTTTACACATTTAAGTGTATGATAAATGCCTAGGATGACTCGATAAAATAAGATACAAATTTAAATTTAAAAAAATGGGAATCTTCCAACTACTTGTAAGTAAAATTCTCCATTTTTCTTTAGAGAGCCATAGCCCACAACAGCCACTCGTCTCATTTACCAATCCATTCAATCCACTCTTAGATCATATAAACACTTACTACGTTAACACTTACTTAAACTAGAAAATAGATATTAATAAACCCCAACTTACCAATAAGGAATTAAAAACTAGATTCAAACAATCGCTTCGAAAGGACATACCGGTTGCTAGGAGATAAAAATAAATGGCATGCAAATGATTCTTGCTTCAAGCTTTTCCTTCATAAAATGTTGATTAACCACAACATAAATGGCTCTATCACGTTGGACAATATGATTCTTAATGCTTCTAGCAGCCTTGTTGTTATACTATAGGTTCCTTGGAGAATCTATAGTTTTTGGTACTTAAATCAAAACCTATTGTAACTACAAAAGATCGCAAACCGCATCAGCCATGGCTCTATATCCAACTTCAGTAATAATCAAAACGCATTATGTTTCTTGCTTATCTATGAAAAGGTTTTGACATACATAGGTACAATAGCTTGTTGTGGATTTCTATAACATGAAAAACTTGCCCAATTAAAATCAATCTAAGAAGCATGGGCACGGACATGGGTACACGAAGACACGGCATAATTTAAAAAAGTATAACATGATATGCCATAGAAATGTCGTTTTAATACTTCATAATAATTAATATAAAAATATATTTTTAATATTTTCTATTAAATACAGCACAAAATAAAATATATAATCATTAAGGAAAGTTTATAATGATAAAGGTTATTTTTTACAATATCAAAATTACATTCAAAATATCAAAAAAAAAACACTAAAAATATTTAATGTCAATGTCATCCATAATAAAATGAAGCAAAGAAAAATAATAAAAATCATCCCTAATTGCAGTTATTGCATTCAATAGCAGGGCATCATTAGTGCTTGCTCCATTGCCCTCTTCAATGCCTCATTCACCTTCATCAAAGAAAAACATTGCTTCTAAATATGGCTAATCAAGAAAAAGATTAGTAATTTTAAGTACTATAATATCATCCATTGTAGTTGATGTATATCCACCAATATCACATAATATTGTCTCCCCTTAGAATATTTTAGACTCTTCCTAGATAGAAGATGAAGATTAATATGAATAAATACTAAATATTCACATCATTGAAGTGTGATTTTGTTCATATTAAGTGAATTAATACATTCTACTCCAACTTTTTTCACAGCAAAAAGATGAATATGGTTGAACTAATAATTTGAAAGTTTAAACTTTATAGTCATGGAAACTTACCCCATAAATCATCCACCACACATTTCATCCATAATATTTTTGGAAATTATGGAGTCATAATTAGCGAAAACACCACTAAATTGAAAGAAACTGGTAAGCATCAAATTAATCATTTATCTTTCTTCTTTGAAAAATCCTATTTAAACATTTATTCCTCTCATTTGATATTTTAATCTTAATATAAAGCAATATAATTCAAAGCATCACTTGTCAAGTGTAATTGTAATATCTTAAGAAAGTGCACTTATAAGTGACATACTAATCTAAGTTAAAATTTAAAAAAAAATAAGCATCAAATAAAATAATAAATTGAATTGAGAGAGTGAGTTAACATTTAACATGAGTGTCGATTTTATTTCCTCTTTCTACTATAATATCAAATGCAACCTTATAAAAAGCCAAGTCTTAAATGTCCCTTATTCGTAAGCATAAAAATAAACTGCTTAAGAAACAAATTCTGACAAATATAATTTCTAATAAATAGAAATGTCATTGTATAAATAAATAATAAATAAGTTTTAATCATGAAAAAAATATAATTTCTATGATAAACAACTTTAAAAATGGATATCGCAATAGATAACTATTATGTTAAAAGAAATTATTTTCAACGAATTTCTTCACTCAATGATTAATATCTCCTTGGAAGTTTAGAGTAGCATACTTTGCATTTTCTCAAATTTAAATGTACAGAAGAATTTACCTTGGAAAGAAAAAAGAAAAAAAAAACTATTGTCTGGGCAACCACTTACCTTGCAACTTTGAATAACACGTTAATCATTTTGGCTGCTAAATTCTCACAACCCGCGAGCATAATCAAAAAAGATTTACTATACGCAAGTGTCTCCAGTATCTTCAACCTCCTTGTGGAATACGCACTACTAGTATCAGTTAGGTGCTTGAACACATTAACAATGAGACTACAAAATTCCTGCAAATTAAACATAAAATAAGGATGATGTGCATTGTTGTATATTAGAATCCATTACTTGGGAAAAAGAGATGAACAACGGAAATACCAACATTGTTCCTTCAAATAATAAAACTCTGTTGCAGTAAAGGAAAAAGTTTTTGATAACTTATCCTAATTCTAGAAAAGAAAATAATATGCATATTTTGACAATGCATACCTTAATATAGATGCCAAAGCAATAGTTAACTTCATATTTCAATTGGCTAGAAAAAAGTACATTGGGTGGGACAGAAGAAAAAAATAGAACATCCTTTTCCAATGTTAATGATACTATAAACATATGTTCAATTATTCCGTCTTCAACACACTTTGTAAGCACTGAACCCGAGGCTAAACATGAACTATTATTCAAGCAAATATCCCTGAAGCTGTAGAAAAGCATAACAATAAGATATAGGTAATGCTTCTCTTCACAAAATGCACATTAGCAGGCTATCTATAGCTATAGAAAGGCTATGGTACCAAAGATGCTCAATTGTACCAGACCAGGTGATCTTATACGTGCTTATAATTGATTGTACTTCGTTAAAAATACAGCTTTCTTAATAAGGGAATTTTACCTCAAATACAACAAAACTGCAAGGAAGATTAGGTGCTAGAAGACGAATGACTTCAGTGAAACAAACAGCAACTAATAGCCTAACATCATCATCTTTATGCTTAAGCAGGTTACTTTGAACCAAAGAGCACATTAGATAAGTCAACGCTTCCTGCAGAGATGAACATGGACTCAAATCTGAAAGAGCGGTGTCCACTTTCTGTGAGAGAACACAAATCTTCATAAGCAATCATTTTTAAAATTTTATTAAAGAAAATTAACATTTCAATCATTAAAAAAGGAGTCAAATGTACTAGTTCAACCCTGATACATAAAGCAATTCAGGTTCAATTAATATATCAGAAAGCTAATGATATAGAGGAAGAAATAAAAAAAATTAATAAGAAGAACAACAGTCTAGTATCAGAAAGATGGTGGCATGCCTTTTGAGTTTCTTGAAAGATAAACGGGAAACTTGCATTAGAAATCAAAAATTACGGAAAAGAATATTAAAGTCAACCAACAAGAGAAAGGGCAAAGAGAGAGGTAGATAAAGGGCCAAGAGAGAGGAGGGTGCTACTCCGTAGGGAAGCGAAGCTTGGATACATGTTTGCAACAGTATTGTATTCATAGCATCATTCCAACTCTCTTACAAGCATACTGCTATTTACAAAAATGATTTAGCATCAAAAAAAATATTCAAAAGAAAATTTTATTTAGTGCAATCAAGAGAAATAATATTGATTTTGCATTAAAGGCCTGCCTTATGAAAGTGTCATGCCAATAAAATAACACTTGATCGCACATTTATTATATAAAAATAAAACCAAAGGAAACATGAGATGATGAGAACAATGACACTCTTCTAGGGTTCCTAGACGGTGTGATAAAGTGCAAAAGGTGTTGGCAAAGTTATAGAATTGATTACGTTAGTGGATAGGTCGGAGGCCAGCTGGAAACCGGTGTGGACAGCAACAAAACAGTGAACCGGAAGTGGAGAAGGAGCGGTTTCCGATTGTAAATTGCAGGTGGAGGCGTTGGGAAGGCTGTAGGAAGCAAGTTATGCGGTGGGACAGCAGGAGGGGTGAGTTTGACAGCTGTCCAAACTGAAAACAGAAACCCAACCGCAGTTCATCAAGGTTCGGGAGGCTGGACAGCGAACCCAGACAGCTGGACAGCAAACCGGGGAGATGAAGTTGCTAAGTTCTGCTGTAAGCAGCAGCTGCAAAGATGATTGATGGCTGTCTAACTGAAAACAGCGAGCAAATGGCATGTCGGTGAGTTAATGGCGTCGAGGGGGATCCCCCACCTATTCCTAGGCAAGCTATTGGCAAACCGCTTGTGAAAGTAATAGGGTACAGCACCCCGGAGAGCTGAGATCAAAGAAAACTCCTCCAAAATACATAAACTAAGAAAACTTAAACTCCAAAGCACTAATACATAGTATGTATGTATGTGTGTGTGTGTGTGTGTGTGTTAAAATTCAGAAATAATGTGGAATACTATGGAATACTTAATACCTATTTCATTGATATGAACGGAAGTATAAATAAACCTTAAAAGAATCCTATAATAGGAAAAATAATAAAAAATTAAATGATATGAAAGGAAAGATATATCACCTAATATCTCTTATAATTAATTCATATTAATTATCAGGAGTAACTAGGAAATAACATAAGATAGGAAAACAAATAATTCCTAATTCAAGGAGATAAATATAAAATAGGAAAATAAATATCTCCTTAATCTAAGAAAATAATTTATTCTAATAACTTATTATAGGAATAAATTATTTCCTATTATAATTCTTAACAGGAAAGATAATAAATCCTGTAATTTAAATTAGATATTTCAAGACTCTCCCTGAAGTTGAAACATGGTTGAAAACCACATTCAACTTGAATTTGAAAACATCTACTGATGTGCGAGGAATATCCTGTGAAGTAGAACTTGAAATCTTCATCTTGTACTGTTGTTGTCTTTGACTTTAGTTACTGCAGTGTCTATAGGTAGACAGAAAACTCCACTCTTGGCGATGGCGGTGGCAGCAAGCTTCTAGACGGATCTGAAAAGTTAGGAGTACAATGCAGATGGTTCCTCCACATCATCGGTTGCGGTATGCTGACTGGAGGAGTCTCTGATCACAATTTGGCCTGCAAGGCATTAGCCGCATTGGTAGGCAGAGATGGAGTTGGAGACACCAAGAACGGAAGCGAGAGTCGGTACAATGGAAAAACTGATGTTACCCTTCCTATGACCATATTAGGAACTTCTGTTGTCGAGATACCAATGTCAGCTTTTCGAGTGATTCCTTCTAGGTTCTTTAGGTGAGCATGTTTTTCCATTGATAAGTGTTGGATTAAGTTCACCATCCCCCTCAAATTGATGTTGTCAATTTAACAACAAGAAATTTTGTCGGTTCCAATAATCCTCAACCCGCAAGTGCCGAATCCAAAAGTCCCGAAACCGAGAAACCAAGTATTTCGAAGCCTCAGAGACGCCTCCTAAACCAAAACATGATTTGAGCAAAGAAAAGCAAGAAATCATTTATCATTGTCGTTAAAAATATGAATCATAGCTACAAGAATGATCCGTTTCCAGTTACGCGATCCAAATGCTACTGATCATAGCCCACAAATAGGATCCAGTTACACAATCCAAATGCTATCGATCATAGCATACAAATAGGATCCGTGCCCCGCTCCAAATGGCCCACAAATAGGATCCAGTTACACGATTCATATGCTATCGATCATAGCATACAAATAGAATCTGTGTCCTGCTCCAAGTGCTACGATCATAGCCTACAAGTAGGATCTGTGTCCTGTTAAATGATCCAAATGCTATTGATTCTTCTTGCGACAACGAGGATGATCTAGGAAGGAGTTGAAGACTCGCAAGAAGTAGTCGAAGGAAGACTTGATGAAAGCAGTTGAAGGCGGAAGGTAACACGACGATCGAGGCGTCAGCCTCAAAGATATCTCCAACAATCGGGACGGTGGTTGGACGATACCAAACAAATCCAATTGCATTCAATCTCTGCAAAGAACAAAACATGCCTGCCAAGCCAACCTAGAAGCTAGAAGCATTTTCAGTGAACAATTGAAGAACCATATTCGTCATACTTGACCTTCGAAATCCACATCTGTTAGAAGGTGCTGAGAGAAGCAAGGACGGAACCTCCAATCCAAATACTATATTTTCTCTTGGTTGAGTCAAGTGAGCCTAATAGCAAATAAACAATAACTGCAGCAAAGGAAATCTTCGCATCATAGGAGCAAGAGTTGATCCACTGAGAGAAACTCCAGCTCTTCTCGTATGGCAGGGTACGGAATTCAGGCACACCACTAACCTTCAAGAAAGGAGGACAGTTTCTAAATGCACCCTCAGAGGGATTGTCGAAGGTTGTTGTTGCCGAGGCGGTTTCTACTATGGTTTCCATCAAGCGTACTACAGAGATTCCGGCTTCCCGTGCAAAGGAGATGCCCAAGGTTCCAGTTGGTGTTGCCACTTTATCATTCTTCTCTAGCAAGTCATCTTCAGAGTTTCCAACTTCCACTGTCGATGAACTATTAAAGCCTTCTGATGCAGCTGCTGATGCATCCAGCTTCTCTGTCTTTCCCATGGATACTCACGATGTGAAGTGATTTTTTCTTAGGTTCAGCGAAAAGAGATCCTCCAGACAAAGCAAGAACTATCACTGTGGAGGCAACTCAAGAACCTCTTGAGTTCTTTGAGTCTCCCTCGAATATGAAGAATGAGGTTGCAAAGCCTGAAACCAGAAACAAGGGCCTTCCTAGGTCTATTGCATGGCAACTTTGAAGCGTCCATGAAGCCGACCAGAAACTTGAACAACTCCTGAGCAACAGATGTTTGATTCGCCGTACAGGAACCTCCAATCGAGGATGAGAAGCACGATGGAGAACTGGAAGCACGAGTCCATGAACAATTCCTCGTCGAAGACTTCTCCCAATTTCCGGATAGCTCATTATCAGACAGCTGGTTCTCCAAGAAGGTCAAGGGACGGCAACCGGACTTGTTGATGTGGAGAAAGCCGCAGCAATGGGGACCAACAGAAGCGGCTAGACACTGGGAAAGGTAGCTCGAATAGGAAAGGGTGACGCGGATGGCCATGGGTCTGTGGCTTCCAGAAAGAGCAGAGATTTTCCAGATGCGTGCGGGTTGAGGATTAGAGTTAGGTTTTGCTCCCTTTTCCTAGTGAACTTGCCTGCCGCACGGAGAGAAATATGAACCAGATTCGCTGCCGGCAGGAGAAGATGCAACGATGCGATAGTACTCGTCGGTCATGTAAAGATGCAACGATTCGAGGTCTTTATTCGGAAGTTGGTACTTGAGGGTGAAAGTTCTGACCACGAGGAAGATGTCGGGAGAGAAGAAGAGTGCCCCTCCCTTCTTGCACAAAGGATTGCAGAAAGGGAGTCCGACAATTCTCAAAAGAACACCGGTGGCTAGAGTACGAAATTAGACTCTAATACCATGTTAAAATTCAGAAATAATGTGGAATACTATGGAATACTTAATACCTATTTCATTGATATGAACGGAAGTATAAATAAACCTTAAAAGAATCCTATAAAAAGAAAAAATAATAAAAAATAAAATGATATGAAAGGAAAGATATATCATCTGATATCTCTTATAATTAATTCATATTAATTATTAGGAGTAACTAGGAAATAACATAAGATAGGAAAACAAATAATTCATAATTCAAGGAGATAAACATAAAATAGGAAAATGAATATCTCCTTAATCTAAGGAAATAATTTATTCTCATCACTTATTATAGGAATAAATTATTTCCTATTATAAATCTTAACAGGAAAGATAATAAATCCTGTAATTTAAATTAGATATTTCAACAATATGTATGTATGTGTATATAGATGTATATGTATACATCTATATACACATACATACATATATATAAAGTCCCCTCAACCAGAGGCAGAGGTAAGACCAAGCTGGCTCGTTCCTAACAGCTTATTTCATGCAAGTTTTTTTTTTTTTTGTTTATCTATGTTTCATCAATTTACGATGCTATATATATATATATATATATATATATATATATAAAGTCCCCTCAACCAGAGGCAGAGACGAGCAAAAGCTGGCGACCAAGCTGACTCGTGTCTAGCAGCTTATTTCATGCAAGTTTTATTTTTTTTTGTGTTTTATCTATGTTTCATCCTTTTA